GATCCGGGCCATCATGTCGTGGCATGGATTCCAGAAGGTTCCTCGATAAGCTCCTCAGGGATGAGGGAATGTCGAAGGTCCAGTTCTGTGACATACGGCTGAAATTGACACGTGAGTTAGCAATGACGCAACAAGGGGGGGAAGACTTTTTCCAGTACAACGCTTGGCGCGAGCGTCAACATGAATAGAATAGGACCAATAGATACACACCTTTCCATCAGCCACCTCTTTGAAACTCTGAAAGACCTGTTCTGCCGTGTTCTGGTCCTCCGTAACACTGACCATGAACCGAATGAACTGCTCAAAGCTGACGCCTGCGTTCCGCTCAACTCTCGTTTGCCCACACGTCTCCAGAAAAACTTCATGCATCTCATCCTCATCGTAAACTAAGCCCAAACTCGCCAAAGCAGCTGAAAACTCAATCTCATGGAGGGTATTGGAAGAGTCTCGGTCAAAATGTCTAAAGACGGATTCAAATTCTTCAAGTTGGATCGGAGTAAGATTGGTCATGTTTCTTGCCACTGTCTGGTTTTCCAAGAAAGCTAGCTTTTTGCTGACACTCGATTTGACCAATCCAAGCTCATATGCAAGCTCGTCGTATGTATATGTGGTGAAATCATTTTCCTCAATGTTGGCCTCTATACACCGTTCCTCCAATTCAGCTATAGTTTCCAAGAAAGCATCTAGAGGAGGGAGGTTATCGTTGAGGCGCCGTACATGCGATAGCTGGTCCTCGACATCTCCTTCAAGACCAGAAATTGCAAGGGATAACGTATTAAGGGTCAATGCAAAATCATTCGCCTTGTCAGCGAACGAACGTCGCAAGGAATTCTTAATATCGCGGATGGTTTCATTTATTAGTTGACTGCGTTCACGTTCATTCTGGGTTAGGGCGCTCCATTCCTGGTCCAGGACTTCGAGTCTCAATTCCGGAGGTGGCTCATAGGCCCTAAGACGATATGTGCTTAGTTTCGTTTTGATATTCCCCAGTAGAGCCGCAAGATCAGATTTCTCCGCAACCCACTTCCTCTTCTGGTTCCTCTTATACGCCCCAAACTTACTTGCCTGCTCTTTAGCATCCGCATAAGTTCCCTTGAACGACGATTCACGCCATTCAGCGCGTTGTCCTCTAATAGCCTGAAGAAGCTCTTTCATTCTGCGCTCAAAGGAGTTCTGCATCTCCCAGGCTCCCTGCATGTTCATAACAAATTTCTCCACCCGCCGACCTGCATTTTCCACTCTTTCAAGCTGCGAAAATGCATGGAACCAATAGGCGATATAGGTCATGAGCGATCGCTCATCAGGTTTTGCGACGTCGCAGACGTCCTCCACGTCAAGCAAATCAGGTATACCGATATGGTTCGACGCAATATCAAAAGCCAGCTGCATATTGCCCCTGTGGTCAGTTTTATCCAGAGAATCGAAATCGATTAGATCGGGTCTATGGATATCAAGCAATGCGCAAAAAGCCAGTCCATCATTCCAGCTTGTCGAAAAATCTCTAACTTCCACTCCTGGATAGCAAGCTGTTTTCCGCTGACACCACAATAACAGCCCTTCTTTCGCCGTCATTCCCTCCTCGCTTATGTCGCTAATCGTAAATCGTAGGATAAGGGTCCATATCAGCCCGAGAATAATTTTTCTATTGCCATCCACTATATCTTCAGCGCCAATGTTTGTCATCTGTATCCCCCGCCCCTTGATGTAGTCAAGGCTCTTATTGGCATTCTCGAATTTCTGGACTCGCAGTTTGGGTTTGGACGCATATCGACCGAGGGATTCGTTTCCCAGGATCTCAAGTATGTGAATGAGGATAACCTATACTCAATAAGACAAAGTAATTATAAATATATACGCTTTTTTTTTTCCCCCTTCAAGGCGCGTGGAAAGGAGGCGGCAAGAAAATAAAAAGAGAACGAGAAAAGAAAGAAACAACCAGATTTAGTTTACAAAGGAGGAAATGAAAGAAGAAAATAATGAAAATAATAATAATAAACGTACCCCATCAGAAAGATCCTTCACTAAATCCTCAATTGCGAGGTCTCGAACTTTTAATTTGTTATTGAGCCTGTATCAAGGATAGTAAGTAAATGGTTAGCCTGCCATTTTAGAAGAAAGGACCGGGTGGGCAAGAATAACAACAGCAGGACGCGCACCAACCATTTTGTGAATGTCTTCTGCTGGACCGTAATCCATTGCTTCTCTTCCATCAACAACATGAGCTGGTTGGGGCTTGCTAAGCCAATTCCGGCTCCAGCACGTCGATGGTAAACAAAAAATGAATTGGAATTAACGCAGCGGTAGACGCTTGGTGTTTTCTTCGACAAAAGGGCGTGGTGGCTATAGTGATGGTAACGCTGAGAAGAGGGGGCGGAGCAGGGCGGGCGGTGGTGGTCGAAATGGTGGTCGAGATGGTGGTCGAGATGGTGGATGGGGAAGCGGCATGTGGGCGATAAGCGGCGGTGGGAGTAAACAAACCGTGCCTTGGGTGCGCCGTTACGCCGCAACGAGAGCCCCGGGCCGAGGGGCTATCATCCCAGCCTTTTGTCAACAATGTTGTTTCAACGTTCGTCAGACAAACAAAAGCACACAAGGGCGCCGGGAAAAGCTATGGAAAGCTAGCAACAAAAGGCCAATTTTGTGAGAGTTTGAGAGGAAATCTCCTGTCCATCTGGCAATGGAAGGGTTCTTCTTCTACTATTTACCTTCTGCGTTACAATTGGATGTAGGACACTACTGAAGACACGTCACGACAGATGCCACGATGAACCAGTGATTGCAAAACATCATTTTTTGGAGGAGCCTACATATTTGCTACGATGTGTAAAACTTAACTGGGCTACATGTCAAGATCTCATATGCATAATGCCTGGCTAAGGCCAATTGTTACCGTGACCGTTACATCTCCTAAAAAATTGTTATCGCGTTTGCATTTCACTTCCATTTGTTTCACCCATGTTGCGTGTTGGGCCTCGATCACTGTACTTTGAGAGCAAGTGCATTTGAAACTGATATTCAATCATTCATATGCTGAGTACTCTTACAAAAAAAAAAAAAAAAAAAAAAAAAAAAAGCAGGTAAATAAACAATAACAGGTCCAAGGATTTCTGCAAAAGTAGAGAGTTGATAACCGAAAACTAACACTGGTCGTTATCTTCTTTGCCGCGCCACCACCCCCCTGTTTTTTCCCAAAATAGAAGAAAGGAAGAGTAAGAATAAGGTGCGACGTAATGTGCCCTTGACAAAATCTCTTCAGTTGAAAACGCTATAAATGTGATCCATTTTGACGGTCCTTGATTCTTCTCTTCCCACACGCAAGCATCTTATCTTACTCAATCATGTCAATATCATCATCCAGAGCAGCAGATGCAGGGGCAGCAGAAGAAGATGTTATGGCAGCAGTTCCGCTGCCGTTGCCATTGGGCGCGGCAGTGGTACCCCAGTAATCCTCCATCTCCTGGTCCAGCTCTTCCTGCGTCTTTTTTGGTCTCCTGTTTCCTTCTCGTCGGCCCGACTCTGCCGCATTGCCATTTCGCTCTTGGCTGCCTCTCGCATCCCCCCGCCGGCGCCTTCCGCCATCGCCCCTTCGCCTTGGCGACCGTTGGCCCGGGACGTAGCGATCGATGTGGTCCGGCGGAGGCTTAGAGACATCGCTTCTGCGGAACCGTCCGCCACCACGACCTGTGGTGACGTCTGCGCTTTCATTCGCTTCCGGGCTGAGACTCCGACTATTTCTGGTGCGGGGCTTTTCAGTTCGGTCAAATAGGCTGCCTTTTGGCTTTTCAACGAAGTCAAAGGGATTTCGCCCAGCGGATCTGCCTGGGGTGGCCGATATCATCGTGAGAGTGATCGGTTGCCCTTTCGCGTTCGCGCCATCGAACTCGCGGATGGCGTTTTGAGCATCCACTAAACGTTTATACGTCACAAACGCAATTCCCTCTGAACGGCCAGCTCGATCGTACCGCAGGGAAAGTGCGCTAATTGGACCGATGCGAGTAAAAAGATCCTTTTACATAATCAGAACTGGTTCGTGGTTGGCAATTCAATTCCGATGAGTTATCATGAAAATACCTCCAAATCATCTTCTGTTAAGTCGTAGTGCAGGTTGGAGACGCGAAGTTTGGCACCGGTTTGGGGTCTAAGGAGCAGGTTTAGTAAAATTTCGTCCATATTTGGTTCGATCCACTGAGAATCGGGTAGAACATACTGTTCGGGTTCTGGAGAATAGCGGTCGAGACGACGGGCTCGGCTGTCACGATACGAGGGACGAGCTGGAGGATGCATAAGGAATCAAGGACATGTATTACAATGAATGAATGAACGCACTGTTTCTGTCATCTTCGAACTTATCATGAACCCAGTCACTTTGTCGACGTTAGAACAAGAAATTAAGACGAGAGGAAGCGTGAAAAAGCGTCCTACAGATCCAGGTTGGCACGCTCTGTTCTAAAAGGCTGTTGTTCAAGAATAATAAGGGAGGTCAGCTGAAGGTCATCTAGATGATGTGGCCAACACTTGATGGCTTGGGAGGAAATCGAGCAAGCTTTGAGCGTGCCCAGGCCTTGGTTTAGGTGTGCCTTTACGGAGCGGCTAGAGGGTGCGAGAGGAGAAAGAAGAAGACCTAAAATGAAGCCAGTTAACCTCTAGTTACTTCTTGTAGGTGTTGGGGCGATTAAACCAGAGACCTTTTTGACACCATCTCGAGGCGCATTGCCCCGTCGAGGACGGGTTCGAGATCGGCCACGGTTTGAGGACTGTGCAAATATGTTAATTATGAGATAGTGCACATTACGCTATCTGGGACGCGTTTCTTCATGCTAAACAGGATCAGCTCGGAGGATCTAATTAACAACTTACGGGCCGTTCCACTATAATCTCATCCAAGCTTCGGTCCATGACAGGAGATGAAAAAGGTGGGCGCAATAGTAAAACGGAGGCGGGGCTAAGCAATTATAGCAAGGCTATATTGGAGGGTGAAGTTTATTGTGCACAGGCTAACGTAGCGGAAATCCCAATGGCTTTGATGTAAAGCGGCCGTACCGATCAACGGTAAAAGGTAGAATGTGTTGATGTAGGAGATCGTTCCGTCGCATGCTGCCAGATCAAGACCGTGAAGGCGGCCAGTTGCGGCAAAATATTCGGTGGCGTATCATGATGTAAGCAACTCCGTTGTCGCTTTCATTTGAATAGAAGAATAGCTGATGAGACAGAGACAGTCTTCATGCATATAATAATTTTATTAAAAGATATTCCTTTCGGCTAAGATAAACCCTAAATTTTACTGCCTTACACCATGAGGATACACCTCTCCGGGCCTCTGCTCATGAATAGTATGATAAATGTGGTGAAGCGACACGAATTGGAGAACTCTCGTAATTTCGTTCTCTACACAGGAACACGCTGAACAACTGCCAGCTAGCTGCATATATGAATCATTTTCTAAAATCACCCTGCTGATTACAAGATTCTGGGGAATTTGAATAGAAGGAAGCGGGAAACGACAAAGTAATTAAATATATAAAATTAAATCAGGAGAAGAAATCATCGCCTCAGATACACATCTACATCCGCATAGCAGCGCGCGTAGATGAGTCCCTAAGATAAATATTATTTGGAACGTTTCTGTCCTTTCGTAGCAAACTATATCTAGTCATATTAAATAACATTTCTCTTCTTCTTTCCGTGTTTAGCTATGCGGGAAGAAAGGAAAATGACCAACTCAATGCCTGTCTCTGATAGCTTCGCTTGCTTGCTTACTATGCACCGCATTTTCGTTTCTGCGTATGCTGCATTTTTGTCTATCTCCA